CACACACACACACACACACACACACACACACACACACACACACACACGAAAGGGAGAAAAGACAGACAAAAGAAAAAGTAATTAGATTAACCATAGCTGAGCAGCTAGCTTCATAGCAATGCTACTTTTTTTTAAAGGACTATCAGAATAGGAAGCTAAACACAACATGATTTCTACCTTTTTTTTTTTAATTAAGGTCCCCGCTCTGACTCACAACTCTTCATTGGATAAGAGATAACACACAAGCTTCCCATAGAAGGTTTGAGCTGCCAGAACCACACTGTACCTGTGTTGAGAAATTTTCCATTTTGGGGACACAGAGGATTTAGCTGCTAAACATTTCAAGGAAATCTAAGTCTCAGGAAGAGGGCAAATAAAACCGTATGTTTTCTTTTATTAGAAAATGCTCAGTCATGTAATCATTCTGACTAGTCAGTCAGAAATCTTGGTTCAAATTCAGGGTCCGATGATAGTCACTGTGTCATTTTTAGTACCTCTGCCCCCTTTGTCCCTTTTGCGAGGCCTCAGTTTCATTTTATCCTTAATAACTTTATTTTGTTGTTGTAACTCGTAAGCCATCTCCAGACTTCTGAGAAGTAGGCAAGGTAGAAAAGCTTAAGGAAAAGCCCCAGGAACGTGGCTACCAAAACACATGCCTGGAGAGTCTCTGTGGGTGCCCACTCCAACTTTAGAAAGAATTTCTAAGCGAACTACCCTTACAGTTATCTCTGTTACTCAGTGGATGAATAAATAAATGAATGGATGCAGGTGTGTAGTTGACAGGATCCCAAGCCCACAAGAAGAAGGCTCTGATGAATGGAGGTGCTACAGTTTACACAGAACAACACATCTGGAGTCCCCTTTGCTTGGCCAATGGTTGCGGCGCTATCTCTTCTGTTGAGAATCTACTGCTAATGATTCCCTTTTCCTCTGGAGTGAAGACCTGCTGCTAGGTGGGCTGGTGGGTAGAATGATAAGAGTGAGGAAGACCCGAGTTCAAATTCAGCTGCAGACACTAAAATGGTAGGACCCTAGACATGTCACTTAACCTCTGTCTGCCACAGTTCCCTCACTGTAACATGGGGATAATGGCATCTACCTCCCAGAGTTGATGTGAGGATCAAATGAAATAATATATGTAAAGTGTATAGCACAGTATCCGGCACACAGTAGGTACTTATTATAGGAGGGGTCTGTGCCTCTGGCCTAACTTCATCTATCTAGCTGGGACAGGAAGGAAGCAGCAGCAATTCATAGTGAAACTAAATGCAAATGGGACAGAAAGCACACATCTCTCTTCTGCCTAATTCATTCTGATTTCTGTTCTCATGGAAACGAGGGAGGAAGATGAAACTAGCTTCATAGCATTACCTGGGCCTCCAAAGTAAAGAGGAGAACCAAAGGGGATCAGGGTTGGAAGAGACCTCAGAGGTCATCTGGTCCAAGATGAAAGTGAGGCAGGGATGGGGCAGCTAGGTGGCGCAGTGGATAGAGCACCGGCCCTGGAGTCAGGAAGACCTGAGTTCAAATCTGGCCTCAGACCAGACATTTGATACTTACTAGCTGTGTGACCCTGGGCAAGTCACTTAACCCCAACTGCCTCAAAAAAAAAAAAAGAAAAGAAAAGAAAAGAAAAGAAAGTGAGGCAGGGAAAGGGGAACATCACCCTTAACCTCTCCCAAATCTCACAAGCTGTCAGCCCTTGAAAAGCAAAACACTTAAATTCAACTAACCTTTATTAAACATCCACCATGTGTAAGGCCCTAAGCTCAACCCTTCCTGTGGACTGTTAGCATTGACTAAAATGAAAAGGAACTTAAAGATGGTCCCCATGCTTCCTCCTTAGGCTGTCTAACCAAGGTCTGGAGGGAACTTGTCCCTCTTTTAAACTCACAACCGACTTTATGGGGTTGTTGCGAGGAAAACACTTTACAAATATACTACATTTATAAAGGGCTACGTAAATGTAAATTATTATTTTTTATCATCTGTACCGTTCATAAGACTGGGCTGCCTGACAGTAAAGTATCTGCATATGTATCTAACACAGTGTACTTGATAAATGTTAGATGATAAAGGAAAGAATGTAGGTACATCATCTGGAGCAGTTCAGAGTGATGGAAAGAATGCCATCCTTGGAGTCAGAAGACCCAGGTTCAAAACCTGATTCTGAAACTCAACAGCTGAGTAAGTCACTTAATGTCTGACTCTTCATTTTCTCATCTGTAAAATGGAGATAATATTCATGATATCAACCTGGCAGCCTTGATGTGAGGTACAAATGAGATAATGCTATGTAAAGTGGTTTT